TGTAGACCGTGTTCCCAAGAAGCTCACGGGGGGCCTTGACGAAGATGAGAAGCGTCTGCTCATAGCCGGCTCTCACCTCGGTTTGCAGACCGGCATTCTCTAGGTCGTTGAGGAGGTTGGTAAGCTCCTTGACAGCCGTCTCAGAGTCTGCGGTTCGGTCAGTCGGGGGGGCCCGTTTCGTTTCACCACCAGATATCTCGGCCACTCCTTGTGGTCTACCGGGCACAGAGAGACTCACCGATCTCGCTGAAGTCGTACGCTACAACGTACTTGTCGTTGTAGGTCTGCGGCTTGCGGGGCATGCGGTGAATGGGGTCCGTCATCACCCTGGCTAGCTTATCCATGATGCCCATCTTCCCTCCACGTGAACCGCGACAGCGGCGCGGGAGAAGGCGTGATTATGTAGTGCGCGGGGCAGGCGGCAATGGGAAGAGTCGGCACGGCCGATGTGATGTGCGTGTGGTGACCAGACCCACGGATTGGGGCCGCCCTGAAAATGGCAATTAAAACAGGTCGACGTCGACGTCGGAAGAATGAACCGGAGGGGGAAAGGAAGAATGGAGCTCTGCGGCGGCGGCGGCGGGACCCCAGTTGAGGTGTGACCCAGCACGATGGCACCGTCCGAAGATCTGGAAGGGTGGTATGGTGTCACTGTCACAGTCCAGCGTGTGTGTGTGTGTGTGGTGGTGGAAGAGTGCGTTTGGTTACAAAGGCCGAGGCTCTGACTCCTGGGTGACGGTCAGCCAGAACAGGCCAGCGGCAGCAAGGCAGAAAGAACAGATTGTTGGCGAGATTGAAACCTCAGCCGCCTGAGGGAAATAGTGCGGAAGTAGGCTGGAAAGGGAGGAGGCGGAAAAAATTACAGAATTGTGGCCCTGGCTCTCCCCTGAACTGGAACATCGGCAGCCAATGCGCGCCGCCGCGATGGTCTTTTGGCCGGGGTCAGGTCGCTTGTGTGTCGCTCACCAAAGAGCTGAACGCGTCAGCGGACTCCACACGCCCAGAGTTTCCGCTGCCGCAGAGCCGCGCACAAGGCTTAGCTCGCCAGAAGAAGCGTAGCCTTTCTTGGGGTCGAAATTGGGAGCTGTGGCTATCCCGATGAGGCTTGTCTGCTGACCCTCCCGTTGAATTGCATTGATTGAGGTCAGTCGAAGGAAACCTGGGGTAAGGCGACGAGACGCGAACAAGACGCGCTGAGCCGAGACATTGTCCAGCCGGGATCGCGGAAAGCGAAAGTGTTATCGGCTCGATAACTACCCCAACTCTGGCATCGTCACGACAAACAGCGTTAGGGCTGAGTGATCGCAATCAAGGATAAGCCACGAGATCGGGGCTGGTGCCGTGTTAGCCATGATGGGACGATTGTGATGGGACGGCCGGCACCCGAAGACGCCGCTTGGCGACAATCGCTCGCGCCTATTTTTAGCGTTGAAGTGCTGACTCAGCTGGCAGATGCGGGGCAGTGGGTGTGACATCACCCTGGCCTCAGCTCGCAGACACCGACACCCACACCGACACTTGGAATCTTCACCGGGGGTGTTCACCGAGACCTGGCAGTGATGGACCACTTTCATATCCATCAGTCCAGGATCCGGCTCAGAGACGATTCCGTCCACTTCACTTCCAATTCTCACTTCTATGTATGAAGAAAGTGACACCGCATTAATCTGAAATCGCATTAAGGTCCGAGGCTTGACGGTTACTGATGTTTACCTCTGCTAACTTCAATAGAGGTCCCCCGCTCGACGTCCCGTGCTCAAAATCCATATCCACTAACAACCAACACAACCTGCATGGATCTCAGATGTGGCAAGCCTCAGTCTGTTCCCGGGATTTCCTTGCAGAAAGCACTCTCGACCTGGATTCCAGGCACTCCGCCAAGCAATTCCATGTCCAAACCGTCCCTCACCAACCATCGCCCATGGACACGCATAACTTCTCCCCACTGCCAAACAATCTCATCGTGCTCTTCCAGTCTCAGGCCATAACATATCTGGTCCATAGCTTCTCCTAAAGTTGATGGCGGCTCGATACAGTCGCAATCCGGCAGCTTCACGTCCTCATGGTCCTTAAAGACCGGCTTCAGCAGCGGTCTCAAGGACTTGCACTTGCCAGGCTCGCGGGGGTGACGATCCAAGGAGAAATCGTACAAGGCCTTCTGCCGCACAGCTGGGACAAACAGGTAGATATCTGTGAGTAGGGGGAATAGTCGACACATATTTCCGAGAATGAAGCGCCAACGCGAAACATGTTCCAGATGGGTAAGGAAGCGTTGCTGGCCTGGGTGGAGCGCCGACCACGGGATTGCAAGTCTTCGAATCTGGCGGAGGACTTCTTTGTTCCCGACGTTGCTCCACTTGTCATCGATGCCGTAGAGGTGTGTTTTGAAGCGAGACAAAATGACGATGTCGTGGCGAAAATCAAACCATACTGGACCAGAAGTCATGTTGTGGGGACTGAGTAGAAGGTGTGTGAATTTTGAACGTCGCAGAGCTACCTGTCGAGAAGTGTGGCACACCACACAGAAATCATGGCTGGGGGAGTAGCCTCTTGTTGTGCTCCTGGAAAGACAAGCAGGCGATTGTAGCGTGTCCCTCTGCACCATGAGTGCTGATTGAATGGAGGCCCTGTTTTATCGTAATTTTCGAGCCGTCCTTCGATGACCTGCCGCTTCGGCTTTGACCGCTGATTGAAGACCGCCTCCCAGATGAGCAACTGGAGCTCAGCTGGGAGCTTGGAAAATTGGGGGAAGGTCGCCTCCATTGTGTCGTTGACAATGAGGTGACGACGAATGTTGTGGCGCGTCTGTTCTAGGTCAGTGAATGCGAGGAAAAGAGGCGAAAGGAATTTCTCACCCGATGGGCTGTTATGCAGGTGGCCGAATCTGCTTAAATTGTCCGCGTTCGCAAATGCAGAAGTGAGCCTATGAGGTGGCGAGAATGTGAGACACCGCTGACAAGGCAAAAGCGAAAGGCTCCCGCGATAGTGAGGATTCAACGCTCACAAATTTGTGTTCAACGCTCACAAATTTGTAAAAGGTTGAAGGGAAGACTAAGGTTTTCTCACAAAAGAAAAGTGAGAGGTGGAAAGGAAGACTGGTGTTTGCTGAGGTGCAGCTCAAAGAAATGGGCAAGAGCAGACTTTTCCAGTCGGGTGAAGTAAGGTAGGGCAGGTAAGTACTGATCTCATACCCTCTGAGGAAGTCGCGCCTGCCTTGACCTCCTGCCTCGACCTTCTGCCTCACCAGAACAGCCTTAATTGTGACGCTGATTGTTTTAGCTGAGGAAATCCTGAAATGCTTTATTCCGAGACTTCGGCCAGTCTGGAAAGCTTTCCCTTATCAAATCATTTTGCGAGGGTCCGGCAATACCTATCTTTTTCACAAAGATTTACTTCTTCCCATCTAGATGCAACTTCTTCTTAAGATATGCAGTCTAGATTGATAGACTGCACCATCCATGACAATCTGGCTGGTCCTAAGACACTCCAGCTACTCGCAGGCCTTTGTGGAGTTGAGTCAAACGTCTGTCTTGCACGAATAGTCGATTGGGCTTCAGGACTCTCTAACCGCAATTGGGGATTGAATGATTGGTTATACAAGCCGGAAATACACACATACCGTACCTACAAAATAACTGTTCTCAAACCCCCGAAGTTGATAAGCTATGGATCTACGGAAACAAATTCTTTGATGCCGACAATGGTCAGTCGTCGCTTTTTCATACTAGATGGCAATTGTGTCACACTGCATTCAAAGCTATTGATTAATGGGAAACGATCCATAAAAACTTGAATTCTCCATCTGCAGTTGGAGTCTGTCATGTTGATAGAAGCTTTTGGAAATGATAAATGCTGTGCCTTGCGGGGGCCACTTGCGTAGCGGCACACGCCCATATCCGAACGATACGAACGGATCGCATATCGTAAGTTCGTTACTTACCAATCAACCAGTTTACCATTCTCCCTGCAAATATAGACTCCAAACGGCAAACTTCAGCGGCAGTTGTCGGCGCCGCAAAGGGACCCGAGCAAGTGAGCGGCCGGTTGCTCCCGCTCACTCGGCGCCGATCAAAGCCCCCGATGATAATATCGTTAGACCTCGCCTATAAAGATTCTTTCAAACCCATCTTACTGGATATGAGTTCTAAGCGCGAAGAAGATCCATTGAATGCTTCGCCGCCGTTTAGATAAGCTTTCGGACATAACGTTCGTTGTGCTCCGCGTCGACTGTGCGGCGGCATGTGCCGATGTCCGTAGCTCTCACATGGCGGTGCCCAACTTACTCATCAGGCTAGTGATGCAGATCCAAACGTGAAGGCCGAACTTGTATCACTTGGTGAGTCGACGGCTTTCGTCGGCGCCGAGGGGGCCGAGCGGTTGTGATATCGTCATGTTTCCTGCCGCCGCATCTCGCGCGCTCGGCACCATGGACCTCCGTAATGTGTTTTCAATCAAGAATATTCTTAAACATCTGAAAAAACGCCCTTTCTCTCAAGATCAGCCATTGGCATCGCATCCAAGTATTGTCTCACCTCATGTCGTCAACCACGTCCATGAACCTACCTTACGCATAACATCCCAATCTCCACAGCTACCACCAGCCGGCAACGACATCAGCGTACCAACACATCGTGGTGCAAACTCCAACATCTACTAAAATGCCAAAAAGCACAAGAAACATCTCAAAAGAGACCATCACTGCCCTCTCCGACGCGCCAACACCACCACCAGGCATGATCCTCCAGATCCGCTCCGGAAAAGTCAAGACCCTCATCGCCGAACCGTCCGGCATCTCCAAACAAGTCCAAAAAGGCCGCGTCTTCGTTAACGAGCACGGCATCGGCAACGACGAGCACGTCTAACCCATCCACTGGAGCCCCGACCGCGCCCTGCACCAATACGCCTCGGAGCACTACGCCTCCTGGCGCTGCGAGGACGCATGCCCCAAGCCGGAGCTCTTCAACTACGGCGCGTTCGGGGAGAACATCGTGGGCACGGACATGAACAAGGAGAACGTCTGCGTCGGCGACGTCTTCCGGATTGGCAAAGATGTTGTGGTCGAGGTGAGCGAGCCGCTCAGCCCGTGTTATAAGCTGAACCTGCGCTTCGAATGGGGCACGGCGCTTAAGCGTGTGAGTCGCACGGCGCGGACGGGGTGGAATATGAGAGTCAAGACGGCGGGGTATATCTGCGCGGGCGATGGGATGCAGCTGGTGGAGCGGCCTCATCCGCGGTGGTCGATTCTCAACATTAAGCGCGTGATCCAGGGGAAGAATGTCGCGCTGCATTTGGTGGCCGAGCTGTGCAATTTGGACGTGGTGATGAGCATGGTCCGCGACTTTGCGCAGAACCGCCTGCATTCGACGCCAAAGAGATACGAAGTCGTCGAGGGCAAACCCATCACGTCGCGGGTCAAGCAGTTCACCTTCCAGCTCCGGGAGCCCTTTACGATCAACGAGCCCGCCTTTAGAGAGTTTGCGTTTGCGCAGATTGAGTTTGGCATGGGCGAGGAGAGGTCTTTGCGTTCATACTCGATTATGTCGGGCGACTTGAACCAGTTTTCACTTGGTGTGGCCCACGACGATCATTCCAGGGGCGGATCGAGGTATCTTCACACGAAGCTCAAGGTCGGGGATATGATTACCATGGCCCCTGGCGGGGTTCCGAAAGCCGTGGAGGACGAGCAGAAATGCATCAAGGATGGGCTGGTTGAAAACCGACTCGTTATTATCGGGGGCATTGGCGTCACGGCCTTTCTCCCCAAGATTGCTGAGTGGGAGAAGAAGGACATTGACTACGAGGTACATTACGCAACACGAAGCCGCGACGAGGCTGCTTTCTTGGACCGCTTTCCCGACGAAAAGATCACACTCTATGCCAAAACCGAAGGCAAGCGTCTGGACTTGAACACCCTGATCCAGGGTCCTGACAAAGATGGAAAGCACACCACGAGAATCTACTGTTGCGGCCCAGAAGGGCTGATGAACGCCGCTCAGAGACGAGCCGATGACCTGGGATTCCCAGACCACATGCTACACTTCGAGAGCTTCGGAGCGGACTCCGCGGGGACGAAAGGCGAGCCGTTCACTGTCGAAGTGAACGAGCTCGAGTCACGACGGAAGGAGAAGTTGGACGTGCCCTCCGACAAGACGCTGTTAACGGTGTTACGGGAGGCTGGCTTCGACATGACCTTTTTCTGCGAAATGGGCGGCTGCGGTGCTTGCAAGGTGACTGTTTGTGATGGCAAGATTGCCCACAAAGGCACGGCGCTCTATCCGAAAGAGAAGAAAACCAATATGCTCAGCTGTGTGAGTCGCGGGAGTGGGCACATCAAGATAGAGCTAGATTGAGCTGAAATATGAGCCTTTCTGAATTCATGTATTCTCCGGTGCGGTCAGGGTCAATTTCAATAATGTTTAGATCAGAAGCGGCTTAGCTTGTGAAGAGTCACGTATTGAGTGGGACAACCCCCAGCTCTCATTCTCGGTGTTATCGCGATGACTCAATCCTCACGCATTGAGCCGCTGCAAGGCGAGCTAGGGAGATCAGCGGCCCGTCTCACCAGCATGATCTCTCAGATCATTATAAAAGCCAATGAGAACGCCTGGCATCTGAACATCAATTAACCCCAATTCAACCCCAATTCATTTCCTCCTTCTGCTTGCTTGAAGTCAATCATCCCACTCATCACAATGAGGACCGTCGAAGAGTTCAAGATCGATCAATGGAGTATGTCAATGCCACATAATCCCATTATCTTTGAACATCTGACAGCCCGCTGACCGAACACAGATCGTAAACATGCGGTATGTGCTATTGCTCTATTTCATCTCCTGCAGGCACAGCTTCTGACTCTTCCTAGTCCGGCAGCTTGTACGGCTTGCATGGTAAGAGTTGTTCTCCTTCAATTGTACCCTGGCCCATACTTACGACTAAGGCTCGTTCACTGCGGCCCCTTCCATCAACGAGCTGAAGAAGCTTTCCACCAACCCCGAACTCGAGATCCTGAGCCCCGACCTCAAGCTTAGCTATGGAAACCACGACGGCAAAGACAAGCTGCGCGACAGCGTCGCCGCTCTCCACTCCTCGGGAGACAAGAAGCTGACCCGCGACAATGTCATCATCACGCCCGGCTCCATCATGGCCAACTACATGCTTCTGGAAACCATCTGCGGCCCAGGCGACCACGTCGTCTGCCAGTACCCAACTTACGGACAACTCTACCTGATCCCCAAACTGAACGGCGTGGATGTCAGTCTTTGGAAGATGGACGACAGCAACGCATGGCTCCCGCGCATCGAGGGGCTGGAGCAGATGATCAAGCCCAACACCAAGGCCATCATCTTGAAGTATGGCCCCTCAGCTCTGGGAGCAATCCTCACCTGTGTGTGTATCTCGATCTAATTTGCCCATCGGCAGTAATCCAAACAACCCGACCGGCGCCGTCCTTAATAAAGAAACCCTCCTCCGCGTCATCGACATCGCAAAGAAGGCCGACATCACCGTCTTCAGCGACGAAGTCTTCTCCCCGCTATTCTTCACCGACGCGAAGCCCCCATCGATCGTATCCCTCGGCTACGCCAACACCGTCGCCACCGGCTCTCTCTCCAAGGCCTTTGCCCTCCCCGGCATCCGCCTCGGCTGGATCATCACGGAGAACGCCGAGCTCGTCAAGGCCATCAACATGAAGCGCGCTTACACGACCATCGCCGTGTCGCAGATCGACGGCGGCATCGCCTCGTTTGCCCTCGACCCAGCGGTCACGCCAGCCCTCATGGAGCGGAATATCCAGCTGTGCCGCGAGGGGCTGGACCTGATTGAAGGGCTGGTGAAACGCAACCCGGACCGCGTGAAGTGGGTTAAGCCTGAGGGCGCGGGAACAGCGTTTATTCAGGTTCTTGATGGGAAGGGCGCGCCGGTTGACGATGTCGACTTTTGCACGAAGCTGGCGGAGACCGAGAGCGTTTGTCTTATTCCTGGAGGATTCTGCTTTGGCGAGGGCGCCGAGGGCGACTTCAAGGGTTACATGAGGATCATTCTTGGAGACCCCGAGCTGCTGCGACAGGGACTCCCGGCTCTGGAGCGTTTCATCCGTAGCTACCCGTAGACTGGGCCTTGAGGTTGATCCAAAGACCCATTATTAAATCTCATGGAATGACATATGAGTCACAATAGAATCCCCCGTAAAATGATCGAAAACACCGAGCATGTAAGCGACGCCCTTCGCGATGTCAATGACGGATTCTGCCGCAGGTGACCGCCCAGACGCGGTCTCACGCCACGCCGCCCTCGTCGATGCGGGGACGACTTGGCGATCAGAGTCTCATCTCACACTCACCTCATCAAACCACTTCAATCAACTGAATCAGCATTCATGTCGGAATGGGTGCCAAAACACATGAAGACCACACGCCTGGGGGAAATGGTACGCCAACTTGTCCAAAGTTCACCACCATGACTGCTAACAGAAAGCAGACGGCCCGATCTCGTCCAGCCCCTCTTCAACCGGCGGCGAGCCCCGCGGCGCGCACCTCTCGCGCGACGGCGATGGCAGCCTCGGGGACGGCGGCGATGATGACGACGACGACGATGAGGCGGCCGCCGTAATCGGCTCCATCGACAACGGCAAGAAGAAGCGAAAGCGAAAGCCCAAGAAGAAGAACAAGAAGAAGACTGCTACGACCGTCCAGTCGTCGCCGCCTCGCGTCCCGCTGAGTGAGCTGTTCGCCGCGGGGGATTATCCCGCTGGCGAGTTCCTCGACTACGAGCATAACTTCACCACGTCTCGCACGACGGCCGAGGAGCTGCGGTATCTTGACCGGTACCACCTCGACGATCCTACGCTGCTGAACGACTATCGCAAAGCCGCTGAAGTTCACCGGCAGGTCCGGTACTGGGTCCAGGACACCGTGAAGCCCGGACAAACGCTCACTGAGATCGCAACCGGGATTGAGGATGGCGTGAGGGCTCTTCTCGGGAACCAGGCCATCGAACCGGGAGATGGTTTGAAGGCTGGAATGGGATTCCCGACCGGCCTTTCTGTCAACTCGTGTGTGGCGCATTATACGCCTAATCCGGGCCAGCAGGACATCGTCCTCAAGCATGAAGACGTGGTGAAAGTCGACTACGGGGTTCACGTCAACGGGTGGATCGTCGACAGCGCCTTCACCATGTCCTTCGACCCCGTGTACGACGATCTCCTAGGCGCCGTCAAAGACGCGACGAACACTGGTATCAGAGTAAGCAACATCCGCCCATCCAGGTCTGCACCGGACCCCTCACTAACAGCACCAGACCGCCGGCATCGACGTCCGCATCTGCGACGTCTCGGCCGCGATCCAAGAGACCATGGAATCCTACGAAGTCACCATCGCCGGCAAGACCTACCCCATCAAGCCCGTGCGCAACATCTGCGCCCACGACATCAAGCACTACCGCATCCACGGCTCCAAGCCGATCCCCTTCATCAAGAACGACGACGAGACCAAGATGGAGGAGGGCGAGATCTTCGCCATCGAGACCTTCGGCTCGACCGGCCGCGGCAAGACGTCCGACGACGTCGGCGTGTACGGGTACGGCCTGCGCGACGACGCGCCGAAGCACGTCAACCTGCCCTTTGCGAGCGCGAACAAGCTGTACAAGGTCATCCGCGAGCAGTTCGGCACGCTGGTGTTCTGTCGGCGGTACCTGGAGAGGCTTGGTGTGGAGCGGTACTTGGCTGGGCTGAACTGCCTCGTCAAGGAGGGGATTTTGGAGTCGTATCCGCCGTTGGTGGATATCAAGGGGTCGTACTCTGCGCAGTTTGAGCATACGATCCTGCTGAGGGAGGAGAGGAAGGAAGTTATCAGTCGTGGAACGGATTACTGATCGAGCGTCGTCTTGGGATGACCAGGGGATGAACGGAGATTGCGCGATGTGGTTTCACACACGACTTCAACCCTACCCAGGCGGCTAGATTCAACATCATCGTGCTCCTTTTCCTTCTTTCTGTTTGGCGCTGCGACATTGCAACTTCAACATTCACTGCAGAGGTTCAACCCACCTGCTTTTACTCTCGTCCGCGACCCTTCAAGTCTAGATTTTCCACCGAAATACAGTCATTACCGAGCTTCCATCCATCTGAAGAGATAATATTATGCCTTCATCTTACACATTGCCTTCGAATGTTGAGAAAACATTCAGACGGATTTGACTCCGACATACCGTTCATCGGAACTTGGCAAACCCGATCTACCCACTACTCTCCGTCGCAGACCCACGCAGAACCAACAGCCGAAAGCCCAAAAACAGGGCATCATAACAATTACTAGCAATCTGACATGCATGAGATTTTGCGCTGCTGTTTGTTCGACTGGCACTGGCTGGCGCGGGCGTAGGAAATCGCGCTAAGTCGGCTGGGATTGACGTTCACTAATCACAAATCCCACCGTCCCGGATCGCAGTACACCAGCATCAAGCCAGCTTCTACAGGAGATCCATCTGGAATAAATGCTGATTGAGATAGCTCGGTATCAGAAGTTACCAGAACACAACGCCTTCGTTGCAAACCTTTCCTTTGAGCGTTCGTCTGCAAGCAGAGCAGTTCGTCCCAACACCAGACCATCCTTCAACGTCCACACCACCCATGGATCACTATTCAGACCTCTCGCGCAGATCACTAATCACATTTTTCCAACACTGCACGCTCATAGGCCGAGGGTGGCTTTCTGGATCAGGCTCAGATGTGATTACCAACTGAATCCATCTCAAAATTCAAGGGAGGACCATTCTCATTTTTAAGCTTCCCCGATGACAGGCAGCCTGGGATGTGCTCCATCGCGCAATCCGGCCAGACGTAAGCTCATGCCATCTGAAGTCCGAGAACTCTAATCAATAATACGGATTTCGCCCAAGTCAACCGCCGATATCAACATACGGCGCTGAGTCTTTGCATGGTTAAATCAACGTGTGTTCCCCGCAAGGTGGTGGCAGAGCAGCAAGCCAGCATCGTGTTTGATTCCACCCTACTGAATTTAATTCGTACCTAATCATTCTCATTCTTTCCTCGTAATGGCTCTTGCCACCAAACCGCCAACACAATCCCCTCCAGGACTTGAACCTTCGTCCGAGGACATCGAGAAGCAATCCGGAAACGACACAACCTCCCTCGAAGATGGCACCCAATCCCAGCAACCACTCGCCTGGGACGACCCCCGTGAGAAGCGAAACCCTCAGAACTGGAGCCATCTCGCCAAAGTCCTCCACACCATGATCCCATGCTTCCTAGCATTCGAGATGTACGTTGCCCTCCCTTCACCCCTCCTCACCAAACAACCCATCAACTAACACCACCACAACACAGCACTTTCTC